CTGAGTTTGTGTTTTGCTTGCCCTGAGTGGAGCCAGCACTGACACAGGGAGCTTCTAGGTGATGCACTGTAGTAGTAATCTGAGAATAACAACAACAACAAGAGTTTACCTACCGCTTTCCATTTATAACACTTTTCCATTTTCTCTAGTTCCCTAGTCTTCCCATAACCTTTAAACGTCGTACAATGATCTCCATTTCACAGAAAGGAAAATTCAGAGGGAGAGGTTATAAGCTTTTCTAGGTTGTAGGTGGAGGGTGAGGACATCAATCTTTAGTGGTGGCGGGGGGGAGCATTTGGCTTACAATTCCAGAACTCTTTTCAATACATACAGTGCTTTTTAGGCCTGGAATGTGAAAGGGAGAAGAGGAAATGTGACAGTGGTGAGCTGAATGGCAGGGGTGAGAGGTGTGAGAGGCCCTGAGAGCTTCTCAATCTGGCCATCTCAAGAAGGATTCAGATCAGGGGACAAAGAAATGGAGAATTCACGTGTGTGGGTACGGGAGGGTGTGTACAGAACGAGGAAGCAGAGGGAGGAGGCCATTTCCACTGGGCATTTAGTACCTAGCATTTTTTTGTTTTTAAACTGAATGTACAAGCTTCTCAAGTCTTTTAGCAGCAGCTCGGGGGATCTGTTGACCTGATACTGCTTCTTTCCAGTCGCTAAAATCGGCTCCCACACTGTGTTGGTGACCCCATAGGTGGAATCTATAGAAGTTTAATCCATTTACTCTATTCTAGCACAGGGGCTGACCTCTGTTTGTGACCTTGGCATGCCCCCAATCGAGCATAACTGACATCTATTGCTGTACGCACAGTGTTCTCAGCGGTAAAAGCAGGAGAGGTTGCAGGTTACATGCAATGGACTGCAAACAAGCTCTCCCTCCACCATTTTCTCCTACCACCAGAGGAAGCACACGAGAACGCAAATCCTGAGAAGAATGTCATGTTAGGCCACATATGCAAACTGATGTCTCACAGACAGAATAGAATCTTCAGTCTTGTCTTTTAATAAAAGCTCAATAGGTTATACAAAGGCACAATTTGGAGATTTCATATAAACCTATGAATTTCTGGATTTTCTTAAACAACAACAAAAAACGGAAGAATTGGGCCATACTAGCTCCCTAATGCTGGATGGCAGTAATAGTCTGGGACCACGTCCCTACCCTCATCGCCATGTGCTTGGGCAGTAACATGTGGCCTTGGTTAGCTAACTAGCGTTACTTGGCTATAGCTCCTGTTGGCATATACGTCTTACAGGCCCTGGTTGAGAACTACCTATGAAACTATCATAATTTTCTTATTTATAAAACAGAAATAGTGTCACAGATGTAGAAAACAAACTTATGGTTACCAAGGGGGAAAGGGGAGGGAGGGATGAATTGGGAGATTGGGATTGACACATACATACTACTATATATAAAATAGATAACTAACAAGAACGTACTGTAGAGCACAGGGAACTAACTCTACTCAATACTCTGTAATGACCAATATGGGAAAAGAATCTAAAAAAGAGTGGATATGTGTACATGTATAACTGATTCACTTCGTTGTACAGCAGAAACTAACAACATTGTAAATCAAGTATACTCCAATAAAAATTAATATAAAAATGTATTTGCAGACTGTATTAAGAAGCGACTTCCAACCCACTCCATGAAGAATGGCCACATATCCATGTGCCATGGCCCAGTGGTTCAGAACCACTGTCTTAAGGAAAGTATGGCCTCAGGGTTTCCTCATGGCACGTATGGACTCTACTCTTGGGTTACAGCAGGTGGGAATTAGGGCTGGGTGGACATCCCCTGATCTATAAATATAGTCAGTTATGTTTGGGGTCCTGGCTTTCATGCTTGGTGATTGGCTATTATTTTTTTAAATAATGTAACTAGCTACCAAAATCAATAAATTAGAGCTTAACGTGTTTTTGAAAATGAAACAAACTACCTAAGTAAATAAAATAAATACATGAGAGCCACTGTGGACCAAAGATGTCAGCATAATGCAATTTCCACTGGGATGCTCCTGAGATCTTTTATAAGGAAAAAAAATCCTGGCCTATTCAACCTAAAATCTTAAAATCTTTATTAGCAGGGGATTTGCGTGTGTGTGTGTGTGTGTGTGTGTGTGTGCAATTAGTGGCTTCCTCTTTAATTTGCTTTGAAAGATGAACATGATTCTATTTTATCACTTTTGTATAATGCCCACGGGTATTAGGAAATCAGATTCTATCACTACTGCACGAGTCCAGAGCCTCCATATTCCTTAGAATGCTTTTTTTTTTTTTTTTTTTTCTGTACGCGGGCCTCTCACTGTTGTGGCCTCTCCCGTTGCGGAGCACAGGCTCCGGACGCGCAGGCTCAGCGGCCATGGCTCACGGGTCCAGCCGCTCCGCAACATGTGGGATCTTCCCGGACCGGGGCACGAACCCGTGTCCCCTGCATCGGCATGCGGACTCTTAACCACTGCGCCACCAGGGAAGCCCCTTAGAATGCTTTTTTACCTTGCTTTCTTATATCTATAAACTAGATGGAAGTGACTTGAGCCCTAGAATTTGCTAGACACTAAATCTTTTATTTAGAAGGTAGACAGCTCACGAAAAGAGACACGGCACACTTCTTTGTCAAGCAAACCCTAGTGGATTTTGAAATGGGATTGTCAAGCTTAATTAAAAGAGAAACTCATGTTATGACACGATATTTAACCTTCCAAGAAGAAGTGCATATCCCATGCTGGTGAGTAATGTGTGGATCTCCTCACAGAAACAGTTTTTATACCCTCCATAACTTATTTTATCAGTGACAATGGCAAAGTGGCATAATATACTGTACTATAAAATCACTACATTGCTTGGTGAAAGTTACATTGGATTTGATCAGAAAAAGATGTGAATTGTGTATTGGTGAAAACATTCTTTATCATTCTATGATGGAAAAAAAGCAGTAAAACTTCTCCACGTGCTTGCCAACTCCATTAATGCATAAAGTACACACAAAAAACACACAAAAAGTCAACAAGTAAGCTTCACCTTACTCAAAAATCTTTGTCTAATGAAATAAGTCATATTTCCCTTTTCACCAAGAGAAGGGATTTGGACGAGACCATTTGCTCTAATTATGTTATAATATTCTTCATCATATTTGATGCAAAAGCTCAAAATCAACATTAGTCATACCACACTGAGCTCTTTATTAACCAGAAATACGTGATATAAGTTTTTAAACCATATACAATCAGATTCAATAGGCAGATGGTAGCTACTGAAAATTCCCCAAACCGGCACAAGTTAAATTTAAACACAAGTTGATGGTTCATACATTTGGGTAAGGGACCTGGATAAACTGAAACTGAATTTGATGACATTTACAAATATTTGTACTGTTTTCTTGGATGGTTGCTTGATTCTGACGTGGTGGGTTTTTTCCCCCTTCTCTCTTCTTCCAGGTCTTTCCCAGGGAAGCTACTGCATTAAGCGACCAGCAGGAGATGAACTAACAGACTTGAACCTCTAGACCAGCTCCTTCATTGACTTACAGGCTCAGGTTACAGAACAGAAAAAGCTGTGACCCCCACGTATTGTGAATCATGAGAATGGTCTGTATGTGTGAGGCCACAGAAAACAGAATATCCCTTTTGCTTCTCATTGGATTTTTATTCAGGACCAACACTTTTCAAAGAGTATTCCAGAAAACACTAATCTCATAAAAAAGGCCACATGGTCAGGACATTTTGGGCAATAATAACGCTTGCAGAATTTTTTTAATGGAAGTAATCTCACTTTGGTTCATCTTATTTAAGAATGTTAGAAGATTTTATGTAGAATCCAGACTTTCGGTTCTCTAGAAAAACTGAAGACATGACAACACAGTGAACATATCCTCACACAGACATAATTTCTTGCAGCTTCCCATTAGTCAGGGAACGAGCTCTCCATTAGTCAAGGACCAACCAACATGCCTGGATTCTGGAAGCCTTTTACTTGGCTCCCCTTGTTTCAGTCTTTCTTGAAGACACACAGTGTCTTTTGGTGTATTAAAGGCTCTGAGAATCCCTCAGTAAATATTTCTATTTATTTTGTTGAAAAAAATTTCCCCAATATATTGGATTATAGATGTTTCTTCCTCCACATCTTGGGATGTACTGTTCTAGATAATTCTTTGGGTTTATGATTTCAGTTTTCACTCCAAAACTTACAGATGAAAATCAATTTCTAATATATCACTTGGCACATGGTTATGGACCATAAAATTAAAGGAATTCTGATTTGTTGGTATGAATTTTATGCTACCTTCTGGAAAATATTCGTGAAAGTATTTAGGAAGCTCAGATTTTGCAATGAGGATTCCATTTCCATTTTTGGATGCTTTTATAGGCATTCAAGATGCAGAACAAATCCACCTGGTTAGAGTGTTTATATATTCAATCAGACTTCAAGGTATATTGGTAGAGATGAAGGAGCCTCTGGATTTTACCCAAAATTTAACTTAAAAATTCCACACTAGGAGACCCACTGTGCTGCTGATCTAGTAACAGCCCCTAATAACATGTATTCTGGAGAAAAGACTTTGAAGAAAAAAAATACACTTGCAATATGATAGGGTAAGTAACAGGAATTTATAGTACTATTATGCTCTACCAGGTAAACTAGAATTTAAGTAGATATTTCCTTCTTATAAGTATCAGCCGAGTAACTCTCAAAAAAAGATGGACACAAATTGATCTTTTGGGGGGTGAGCCCAATACGTATCATCCAAGTGATCACTATAGAAGCCCAATAATAGGGTCTGACAGTTCATCTTGCTGGCTGAGAACATTGAACTTGTAATAATGAATTTCTAGTTTTCAAACTATTAGAGTTGGAAATATTGGTTATGATGGCAGCAATGACGTCATGCAAAAACTTCCGGTGGACTATGTGTCGCTAAGCGGGTGTTCTCTGGATCTGGCTAAAGCAGACTGAGGAAAAGTAAATGGCAAATGAAGAGGACAAGTAGATTTAGAAAGCAGTTATTTACCACTTTAATAGGGCTGTCCAACATTTGGTCACAAGGGTCATTCTGAAACCTAATTTCTTTAATGGTCTTCCCATCTCACCAGAAGAGATCTGAACACTCTTGGAAAAAGCAAATCAAATATAGAAAGATGTGCTGTGATAAGACTTGTTGCTACAGCACTATGTAATTAATGATGTCAGACTTTGGATTTAATCAGAGGACATTTCTTCAGTCTAGGACAGCTATACAAAGCCTTAAGACATTGTATTTACAGAACTTAATACAGGGATCCACATATGACCATCACTCTGCCAGAGTCTTAATAGCATGGTGGAGCGGCTCCCTCAAGAATCCTCATTTTTCTTATCTGTGGAAAAGCTAGTAGTTCTAAAAATATTTTCCTGGAAGAGGTTAGAACGGTTATTATATACCACTTGAATATAAAGTATGGTTATGTAAGCCAAGCTTGCATGCTAACATTGCACAGGGTAGAGAACAATAAAACAGGACGATGTGCTTCCTTGGGCCATCTAGTAGAAAGAGAAGGAAGCTTTTGACTCAGTATCGTTCTGATCTCTCAGATTCCAGGAGTCCACCTGTAGCTGGCCTTCCAGTGTGAGTGCCATGCCGACCTCTCAAAAGGGCACGTGATTTCCTTGCCGATAGAAAAAGAAATGACAACAAAACAAAACAAAACATCCAAAACTCAAAGAGGTACACCAGCCGCCTCAAACTGTGGTACAGTTCATTTTTTGAAGAGAATATATAATATTTCAAAATATTATATATATACATATATTTCAAATGGTACAAAGGAACTATAGATCCAAATGAGAAGACAGTTGATCTTTCTTTGTGATCCCAAAAATTTGCATTGAGAAAACCCTTTTTTTCCTTAACCCACTTTCCATGGTGTTGCCCAAAACTCCGGGTCTTCTCACTCTAGGAGACTTCGTGACACACAGTAAAAGCACTGTGATTATCTGGTAATCAGTCAAAGTGCAAATAAGAAATCCATTTGGCTTCTAACGTATAAGATGTTTTAAATTCTTAAAATGTATTTTCCACAGAGTAGGTTTTCCTTTATTACTATAACAAATGCTTCCGTTAGGTTCTTGGGTGAATCTGAAACCAAAGAAAGAAAGAAAGAAATTTCAGGGAGAAAACAAAATGAAGGCACAAAGAAAGGTGATTAGGCAGAAAAAGAGGACACCTTGAATTTTTAGGATGTTGCTTCTTTCAAGTGAACTAAAGTAAAGAATGTTCAAGTCTAGAGCAGTAGTTCTCAAATGGTGATCAAAGCTTATGGACAGGCCACTGTATTTTTTTTTATCGATTCATTAAATTAATTTTGTCACAATTGAGGAGACAGACTCTTGGAGCAATGCCTGTTCAGGACTGGGTTCGTGGGCATGCAATCTAGTTGCAGGGAGCCCTTTGTCGAAAAGGGCCCCTCACTTGGTTTAATGACCAGCAGTTGCCATCTTGAAATTATTAGTAACTTTTGAACAAGGGCCCCTGTGTTTCCATTTTGCACTGGGCTCTTCCTGCACATTATGTAGTCATTCCTATGTCTGTCTGATGAGAATTTCATGAGTAGGAAATTCCATGGACTTCTCATGTTGGTCTCTTGTAAGATGCAAAGGGGTGGCATGAGGTGAACTCATTGCCAAGGTCAGATCACGTTTGTTGAGGAACATAAGAGACCTTTGCAAGGTGAGGAACTGTTCCACTCAAACAATGACATGGTGTTCAAGGGCAATCAAGGGCATACTCCTATAACTATTGATGCCATTTAATCCATTCAAATATGGTCCCAAAGACTCTTATTTTCAGAAGGATGTATGCACGAAGAATCACTGGTTTAGAGCATGAATGATGGTTCTAATAGAGTTGAAGGTTCTACTTTAGAGTTTTAGGACTTAAGGCATTTTTCTTCATCATCTCTTAATTTTTTATAGCTTAGAAATTGAGTATTCTGAGGCCAGGAGTGAAGTCCATTTAAAGCTTTCAGGGTTAGGTAGGAACAGTCATACACCATACACATTTGCATTCAAAAGTTGGTTGGACCAGGGGCAGAATGTATGAGAAGTCTTCACACATTTTTTTATTCTTCCATATAAATAACAGATCCTTCCAAACCTTGGTTTCCTACAGTCCAGTGGTGTTTATCACATTTTGTTTCACTGTCTTCTTTTTTACCGAAAGGAGGGAGAAAGCGACATTTCCAAAACTGAACTGGAATTGTCTTTCTTTTATCTGTACTGACCCTCCTCCTCCCCTATCCCACTGAACCTTAGGCCCTAGCCTCCACAGAAGACCAGGGGCCGTGTCATGTCCACCATCACATTCCCAAGACTTTTAGATAACAGAGGCTTAATATTATTTATTAAAGAAATGAATGAGCACACTTGGATCCAGGGGCAATTGTGATAGCATAGTTTATTCTTTAAGAAGATGGTTTACTCTTCTTTCCTGCAATCTCTAAATACCCCTCCCTCTCTCCTCCCCCACCATCTCTCTCTCTCTCTTTTAAAGGCATTTCTTGCAGAACGAATGGACTAGAGATCAAGATTGTGAAGTCTCTCAGAACATTTCAGACCTGGTGGAATTTTGAGGCAAGAAGCTGGAATATGTCAAAGCTGGTACTTTACCCTTCAGTAATATTAAAAAAACCATCAGGGTGATTAGAATGGGTGGAGATATGAAAAGTTAGAGTCGGCATTAGGAGGATGATCCCAGGGGCTGTGGACAAATGATTTTGGTGAATTGTGTTGGGCTAGTCACAGAGAACACCAAATCTGACAAGATGGCTCTTGTGGTTAGGTGTGTAATCTGAGGTCTGCAACTTACTCTTTTAGGAAATGAAACTTGACTCTACATTGTGCAGCAACTGTTGATTTCCTCGCTAGTGTGAAAGACATTGACATGTTGGACTGAAGGAAATCTGAGGTTGCTTGATATTTCCCCAGGTATTAGATCAGATTATGTTCTGGTGTTTTAATCTGCTAATTTTCCTTCCCAAATGACTTTGGTTTTCTCCTCATTTTATTCCCCTCCTCTTCCTGTCCCCAAACAACCAATGTTCACCTTTTACATACAAATTATCACACCATTGTCAAACAACTTATTTCTTCTAAGGGGAAGTCTAGCTTTCTAAATGAAGTCATTGTTCCTGAATACACAGGGTATTAGATAGGTTCCTGAATGCATGGAATATAGCCTCCCCACCTTTCAAACTTATGTTTTTGATATATCAGTTTAAAGAAAAGAGATAAACTAATAGGCATCTAAAACCATCAGAAAAAAGTCTCTAGTCAGTATTTAGGTCGGTTAGTCTTGCTACAAACTCCCAACAAAGCAGTTTAATAAAACAACAGAAGCAATGATCAAGCAGGAACAGGGTTAAAATTTAGCCAAGAAACTTCACCCAGATGTACTAAGCTTCTCCCCAGAAGGTACCTGTTACCAGTTTTATTGTACCCCAGGCTGGGTTTTTGGAACATGTCTCAAGCATGACTACTTTCTCTCTGTAGGGTGGCATTAAGGAAGCTTCCTCTTTCCCTATGATTTATTCTTCTGAATCTCCTGAAATGGAAGACTTTGCTTAATTCTACTTATCTTTTCTCCTTCCTTCTAAGTTTTATTGTCACCCAGATGCAATTTCCCCAAGGTTTTCCTTAAGACTGTGGCCTGTTACCCTGGCTAGTCCACATTCTGGGGTGTCTGGTTGTTTAAATGAAACACTGAATTTCTATTCTCCACCCTCCTTAAAAAATGAGCATCACAAAAATTTAAATTTTAGACCACATTTTGAACCATCTTTTGTTTATCTACATTTCAAAGAATGATGAGAATTTTCGCTCAGGATGATTAATTTGGAAGTAACCCATATAATAGGGGGGTTTTAGAAAAAAACTATATAGGGAAAAAGAATGAAGTCCCAGGAATCTTTCTTGCAAATTTCTTTACCCTGAAGCTACTTTTAAAAAATAACAGTGTGAAGGAAATTCCCAGTTGCCATTAGCAAGCTGGATATGTTTCTTCAGGTTTTTGTTTTTGTCTTTTTCTGAGAGAAAGAACTCTTTGAATCAATCCTACACATAAGAACAAAAGAGGTGATTTTCTTTATTCTTCCTTTTACTTTAATAAGAATTTGAATTTTTTACCCTAAAGATTACCTCTTAGAGAACAATGAAAACATATGATTCATAATTAAAATACATCTGTGAATTAAACTGTTTTAAAAGTTAAATTGCTAGAGTCAACATTTGAAGTGTGTAGGCATATTTATACTCTGATGGGGAAAAATACACAGGGCATACTAGAAAAATTCATATAAAACCTATTTGTGGAGCATATGATCTAAGAACTGGTGTTGGCTATTAATACAGAATGGAGCTCCTGTAGGTATCATCTGGACTCAATTGGTGCCTTTTGTATTTAAAAGTGCTTATTTCATTGGGAATTTCTTGTAAGGAAGGGAGGAGAAAATGTTAAGTCAGTGTACTGTTTGGGTTTTCTTGACCCAAATTTCTTAAAAAATTCAGCTTTTTCTAGTGTCTTCTTCTTCCGCCTCTAAAGACAGTCTTGAGAATTCTTAGTTGACTTATGTGCCACGCACATGGCTGCAGAGGATTCTCTTATTTCCTTTCCTGAAATGGATGCACACATCAGAACAGGTACATCCTCTGTTTTTAACCTGGCTGTAAGGGTGATTTATTTCTCTTATACATTCAGCCGTGTGGACTGTGCTCAGCTCACCCAGGGGCGTAGTGAACACAGTGTGTACCAGCCTCTGTTATCATGACTGGACTCCACACCATACTTTGGTGATGCCGGAGAATGTCCAGGATGTATTACAACATGCCTGATGGTTTTAAAATAGACTCTACAAAGGCCAAATCAAAAAAAGTGACGTGGGTCACAAATAAGTAGCACTAACAAGTTCTGTGTTTTGTTCCTTTATTTTCTATCTGCCAAAGAGTCTCCTCGTTGGTATTCTTGGAATTTCACATATCTAAATCCTGAAGTGTTTTGATTTGCATTATTGCTCTTTACGGGACTTTCAAGTCTGAAGGTACTATTAAAACAGGGCTCACCATCAATAAAGAGTGATTGGTTACCATTTGGAATAGGGAATGGAGATGTGGCAGAGGATATGTCAGCAATGTGTTTAAAACAATGGTGCCTGGATTCCAATCATACTGGCCAAAATTCAGAGTAGCTTAAAACTAACTTGTGAGGGTATCTTCAAATTACTTGGTAAAGTCATCTTCAGGTAAAATGTAACCAAAGGGAAACCTGAAATCCATACTCTACCAACTAATGAAGATGATTTTTGGGCTAAGCATCAGGAACTGGGCTCATTTTCGAATACTCTCTTCTGTAGGTGTCTCATTGAAATGATACGATAATCCAGGCAGAGCTTCTTAGAGCATACAGTTTCATGTTAACAAGCTAGGGTGGTTCAGGCATCCCTCCTGGGTGCAAGCCAGGGAGGTATAGCCATTTACTGGCTAATGTGGTCAATACAGGCAACTAAATTTGACACACAGTGTCTCCACTTATTTTATATATATAAAAAATTTTCTTATGGTGTTATGTTTCCTGCATCACAAAGATGCAAGAACCAATTTTATTTTGTGAAAAGACGATTCTGAGAAGAAGACCAAGGTAAGACTCATAATACAGGGGCTGGAATCAGAGATGCCCTTTTAAATTTGGGTCACCTCTTTGGAAGTCTGCAAGTTCAACATATTGGAATTTGTAGATGGTGAAGCTTGTTTTAAAAAATACCCAATACTTAAAACACATACACACATAACAGGGCTGATATTCATGTGGTACGTGTACATATCACCATACTGGCTCTTAAAATATTGATATACTTTTGTACTAGTGAATAAATAGTTACTGTCTTAAGTACCCTGACCAAACGCCCTTCACACCCCCATCAGAACTTCCAGACTCTCCTACGGACCAGTATCTATAGGGTCAACGGCTGGCCTAGCTGTCCTCTCCAACCTGCTCCAGCATCATGACACCAATTCTGATGGGCTGGGTAGCCTCATACAGGTCGTTACATATTTTGAAGCCAACTCCTGATTTATCCGCACAAAGTAAGAAACAATTATTCACATCAGAGAATTCTTTCACCTCCCTAAGACAGCATCAAACAATTCCTTTAAAGAACCTTTAGAAGATGGCTGCACTTAAATGCAGAACTGTTCAGGAAACCATCTGGATGAATTAGGCTAGACCCTTATTTTATTATCCATTCTGAGCACCACAGATATCAAATGCAGAATCCAAATAACTGCCTCACTGCTCCTCTTTCCTTTGGCTGTGGCAACCTAGCTTTATTTATGACTCAGTAAGAGAAACACTAAACTGCTCAGTATGGAAAAGTCAAGTTCAATCTCTAACTTCTCTCTGATGGACAGACACTGATCTGAATGGTTAAGAAGAGTTTCTGTTGGGGAAAAGGCTTCTTCCTCTCCTTTTCAAAGCTCTTCTGGGTGGTGTTTGTAAATACGACACAAAGGCAAACAGTACAGTTCGTAACACGCATGAGACATTTGAAAAAAAATGAACTTACTCTTGTGGTCTTGATTTTATTGCCTGTAGCACACATCCATCCGGAATTATCAGGGAGTGTCTTACACTCTTCTCCTTCTAGACAAGGTTCCATCTCACACCACCATTTCCCAATCACTATGGAGGCTGTGCAAAGACAGGAAACAAGTGTGTATGCAATTCATCCAAACAACCTGGGCGCAAGGCTGAGTTCTTCTACAGATGTTAATGCTCTTTGAAACACATTAGGTCCTTTTTAACTTTCATGATTGGCTAAGACTACTCTACTAAGAAGAATGAGATTTTAACTTAAACATCTTAAAATGCAAATATAATTATGCCATCTGGTTTCATCAAGCTACATTTTGTCCACAATCTCCTTGTATGATGAAAACGTACAGAATGGGGACATTTACTTTTTGGAGGAAATTTTGTGTTAAGTTTGTAGATCAAAGACCTGGTGCTTTCTTTTCAGTGAAAGGGACAAAAGGGCTAACTGTCCTTCAGAATGACTAATTGAGCTCTTGTTTTCAGAAAGGCCCGTTTATTCACCCAGCTGTAGGGTTTATCTCCCACCCTACAGCCTTTGAGATATCAAAGTCTTACCAAAAAAGAAAAAATGAATTGACCAAAAGTATAAAAGAAAACCTGCAAAATTAAAACCAAGTCATAATAAATGAAACTATTTGTTTACAGTCAAAAGTATATTTGATACGAGCTGTGGTTTCCTTTCAATAGGTTTAAGGTGATATGAGTGGAACTTTGAAAACTTGACCCTCTGTTAAAATAGCCCTATTTTTCAGGGTGATATTGAGGCTGCCCACATTAGGAAGCTGGCAATGAATTTAGTGGATGGATTTATAGCGCACTTTTTTGGATAATGAGATTTTAGAAAACTGGAGACTAGATTCGCTCCGTACAAATCAAGCAGCTCCACATCTTAATATCCTGAGTGAAATTTTTTTCTGCACGAGCGTTGGTCATTTCTGAAGCTGCTCAAGGCATTTTTTTTTTACAAATCCACCTGGGCATTTTCCTGCAAAATCCTTAAAATGTCTGTGAGTGTTTCTTCTGTGATACTTTCCAAGTGGCTGTCTTTACACTGGACTGAAACTCTAGGTCTTTATCTAAAAGAAAATTGGTCGCTTCCCAACCCCTCACATTTCCACCCTGTCTCCATCCTGACGTTTAATTCTCACAACAACAAAGAACCCACATGACATTTCTTAATGTCACAGAAGATTAATCTTAAAACGAAATGGAGTCCACGCCACAGGGAAGCAGGAGCACATTAAAATCCTCTATCCACCCAGCATTCACTAGAGGGATTAGATTGCTACCTTAGAAGCAGAATGGTTGAAACGTCCGGACATCTACCTGCATTTAGGTTTCCCCCTTCTAGACTTTTCTTATTTCAGACTTCCCCTCCTTTAGAATACAGTCTTCCTCAAACTTTCCTTTGAATAAAAATTACTCTGCAGGATTATATATGCAAAATCGTTTCTACTCTATTATACAGTCAATTTGAGGATTTTTTTTCAAGGGTAACTTTGCCTGGATGTGATGCTCGCCTTATACGTGGACCAGACCAAATCGCCTAAGATGCAACTACATTGGATAGGGCAAGCAGAGGAAGGAAAATCTTGCACATAGTTCTATCCTTATGCAGGACAATGTGATAATTTTGGTAAAACACAGACTGATAACAGAAAACACGAATCCTTCACAGAGTCCAAAATGATTATGAACGTTCTGGATGATTTTCTTTTTAACAACAGGTCTCAGCATCAGGGTATGGACTAGAAGAAGAAGCTAGTCAGGAGTTAGGAGGCCTTATTTGTGTGAATTAATAGGTAACAATACTAAATAGAGAAGCATATATTCTGACAGCAAGAAAAACATATGTGGCCTTGAAGGGGAAAAAAAAATAAACGGCAAAGCTTCCAGTAACGTCAGATACAAGTCAGTGTTTGGCAGTGTTTATTGAGAGCCTTCAGTCTGAGGCTCCCTGCCTGCTAGAGCTCAGTCACAAACAGGCCAATCACATTTGCCATGTGTGTCCCCTTAAAGCCCACCTAATATTTCAATACTGCTGCCCTGCATCTCGACCATCACGAATGGACACTCTCTGAGGGGAAACTGCCTTTCCCAGTGGTCTTTGATTTAGAATTTGTCCCTCTTTTTTCACAGGGGCACACAAATAGTGAACAACTACTGGTAAGGTCAGACATGAGCACCTTTGCCTCTTTCTAAAAGACCCTGTTCCATCTTCTTTTCGCTGCTGTGCCCTCTCACAGCTGACTTACTTTGCTGCAAGCTAACAAAGCACTTTCTCCTCTTTCTCTCAAGCATTAATATCTCCTAAATGAAAATGTAGACAGTAGGAAAAAGAATACATCTCAAAACCCAAGTATGACTTTTAATTCAAGTTTATAGAGACCACTGGCTTGGAGGGGAAGAGAAAAAGCTTTCTAAGAATGAAAATGTCCCAGACTTGCCCACGGTCTCTAAAAACTGTTACAGTTGCCTTTCTAAATGGAGTTTGATGACTTGGCACTACTCTCTGGCTTATTAGAATCTAGTTCATTTTACCAGGGTTGCTTTTCTAAAGATGCTATTAGACCTATTTTGTTTCTGCTTTGTGCATTCCACAGTCATCTTAATATATATTATTTTAGGGCCTAGGTCAAACTATAGTCTCGCATCCTAGTTTTTTCATGAACTCGTATTTCCTGCAATATCTTTAAAAAAGTTCACAAAGAAAGGCTCTAAAAATTGCCTCGTCTTCTCCCAATTCGGAAGCTACTGAAAACCTTCTGATTATTGGACAAGGAGTGATCAATTAGATTTAATAAAATGAGCTAATATTAATGATATTTAGTTGTTTTTAAATATTTTTTTTCTTAGAGATAATTATAATGATAAAACCATAAATAAAAATAATTCTAAAAGTCTGAATTATAGTGGTCAGTTCAATAATAAAACTGATAACTGACATTTCTGAATGCTTCTTACGTGTCTCTGTGTTAGGTACTTTTAAATGTATTATCTCAGTCTTCAAAGCAACCCTATGAAGTAGATATTATGATGAACCCATTTTTTTTTAGATAAAAAAACTAAAGCCCATAACGGTTAAGTAACTTTCCCAAGCTTACACAGGTAGGAAGTTCAGAAATTAACGCAAGAATCCAGGCCTGCTTAACCACAAAATCTATGTTTTCCATCACGATAGTGCTAACTCATTCTAGTTTTGTATTCAAAATTCATAGGTCTCCAAAAAAACATGTATTGCCTGCTGAGTGGATAAATGAATTCTCTCCGCTCTATTTTTAAAATTTTATTCTATTTTATTATTTTTGGCTGCCTTGGTTCTTCGTTGCTGCGTGCAGGCTTTCTCTAGTTGTGCCGAGCGGGGGCTACTCTTCGTCGGTGCGCGTGCTTCTCATTGCGGTGGTTTCTCTTGTTGCGGACCACAGGCTCTAGGCCAGCGGGCTTCAGTAGTTGTGGCACGTGGGCTCTAGAGCACAGGCTCAGTAGTTGTGGCGCACGGGCTTAGTTGCTCCGTGGCATGTGGGATCCTCATGGACCAGGGCTCGAACCCATGTCCCCTGCGTTGGCAGGCGGACTCCCAACCACTGTGCCACCAGGGAATCCCTGCTCTATTATTATTGGAAATAAATTTCATATCAACACAAACACTTGCATAAAACAAAAAAATTCAGTTTCTTGTAAAATTAACTTGAAAAGTAATTTGGGCAAGGGACAGCTCGTTACACTTGTTTCTTCTTAGTCTCAGCTACACATTGCTTGATTTCATTAGTTGTAGCGTTCTAATAGAAATTCTCACTAGTGAACACTTTCTGAATCCATGAGAAACTTATGAGGTAGATGCGTAACTGCTCTAAGAACTTTTATCACTTAGAAGAACTGAATTAATTAAATATCAGCTGCAAAACCTAATTCTGTCTTGTCTGTGGTGATTATGAAAAAGGGTCTTAAAGGTCCCTTTTAACACTGGCATTCTGGGATTCTCTCTATGAATGTGCCGTGTTCAGAAAAATATCTGATCTTCAACTTTTTCAAGAATATTCATCTTTCCTTGAGATATTCTTAAAATCACTAAGTCCACTTTAATCATGAGTCCTTTTTTTTTTAACATCTTTATTGGAGTATAATTGCTTCACAATGGTGTGTTAGTTTCTGTTTTATAACAAAGTGAATCAGTTATACATATACATATGTTCCCATATCTCTTCCCTCTTGCGTATCCCTCCCTCCCACCCTCCCTATCCCACCCCGCTAGGTGGTGACAAAGCACCGAGCTGATCTCCCTGTGCCATGCGGCTGCTTCCCACTAGCTATCTACCTTACGTTTGGTAGTGTATATATGTCCATGCCACTCTCTCACTTTGTCACAGCTTACCCTTCCCCCTCCCCATATCCTCAAGTCCATTCTCTAGTAGGTCTGTGTCTTTATTCCTGTCTTACCCCTAGGTTCTTCATGACATTTTTTCCCCTTAGATTCCATATATATGTGTTAGCATACGGTATTTGTCTTTCTCTTTCTGACTTACTTCACTCTGTATGACAGACTCTGGGTCCATCCATCTCACTACAAATAACTCAATTTTGTTTCTTTTTATGGCTGAGTAATATTCCATTGTATATATGTGCCACTTCTTCTTTATCCATTCACCTGTTGATGGACACTTAGGTTGCTTCCATGTCCTGGCTATTGTAAATAGAGCTGCAATGAACACTGTGGTACATGACTCTTTTTGAATTATGGTTTTCTCAGGGTATATGCCCAGTAGTGGGATTTCTGGGTCATATGGTAGTTCTATTTTTAATTTTTTAAGGAACCTCCATACTGTTCTCCATAGTGGCTGATAAAAACCCTGCAGAAAGTAGGCGTAGAGGGAACTTTACTCAACATAATAAAGGCCATATAAGACAAACCCACAGCCAACATCATCCTCAATGGTGAAAAACTGAAACCATTTCCACTAAGATCAGGAATAAGGCAAGGTTGCTCACTCTTACCACTACTATTCAACATAGTTTTGGAAGTTTTAGCCACAGCAATCAGAGAAGAAGAAGAAATAAAAGGAATCCAAATCGGAAAAGAAGAAGTAATGCTGTCACTG